TAAGAAAAAGCCTGTCCAAGTCACACAGAGGCAGAAGCAGCCTATGAGACTAAACGAAGACTTCAGATAAACCACCCCGCCGAAAACTGCTCCAGAGCATGGAACAGCTCACAGGTTATCAAAACTCTCGAGAGAAAATGTTCAGCAAACAGGCTGCACTGCTACTTAAGCACTACTGACTGATAAGCAAATGATCAAAGATGTTTAAAAAAAACAGAATTCACGGATTAAATGTACTTAAAGATAGAACACAGTTAAAATTACATCAAATTCCATATCAGATTAAATACCTGCAATGTGAGAGAATGCATTTTGTTTACAAAGGTATAGAACGTTTCATGTATTTACACAGCTTAATATTTGAACCATTGATATTTATATATGAACTATCTTATGTTTAAGGTAAAGCATGGTAAAAATGCAAATATTTATCAAGAGAGGATCCGATGCATAAACTATACAAGGTTTAGTTATGGCACAAGGAATATGTGCCATAAATGTCATACTAGAGTATGGTTCTATCTTACACACGTCACCACTATGTAAGTGCTATAGTAAATCCAAGCCATCGAAACTAGAAAAGGACATGTGCGTGTCGTCTGTGTGCACACACTTACAGGTGACCAAGGAACACTGACACACAGAACATGCTGTGCTCTGCAACGGGGGCATCATCTATGACCAAGGACAAGCTCCAGGGATCGCATGGACAGTCATGCTGGTTTGGCCATGTGGCTGGCTGTTAGCACACAGCACATTGGCTTTATTTTACTTTGAGGTGATCAACATTATAGTAAAATCTACTTATGAGGCATTTTTATTATAGAAAAACCACCTGTCCCATATCAACAACTCCTAAATCCACTGATTTTTTAAAAAACAGAAGGCTTATAAACATTTTTTTGAAAAATGTTTAAAAACCTAATTAAAAATACAAAAATAAAGTGAAAATCTCTCCAACATAACTAATATTAACAATTTCTCAGAAATTCTTTCTAGAAAAATCATGTTCATAAGAACATACAAGTATTCATGAACACATATTACATATTGCAAGAATACACACTAATTCCATTTACATAAGTTAATGGAAATTTTTAAGTTAAAAAACAGTCTCAGTTGAAAATATAGAGATATAAATCATATACTAAAAAAATGAAAGCATTAAAAGCAAGAAAACAACATGAAGATAAATGATTATCAAGGACAAATGAGGCAAAGCTGGGACATGAACATAAAAACTTCCCAGCCTCTAGAATGAAAAATAGTAAGAGATGAGAAAAATTAGGAAATTGAAAAAAATTGTGAAGCTATTGCTGAAGCAGTGTCTCTCCCACCGGGTCATGTGCACAGACCACGTGAGGCTGGATAAAATGCAGGCTGCCACTCAGCAGGTCTGGGGCACAGCCAGGGCCTCCGGTACAGATTTCAGACAAACTCCCAGATGATACTGATCCTCGGACCACCCTCTGAGTAGCAACAGTCTAGACTAGAACAGCACCGTCCAACAGAAATAAAGGATTCACACACGGAATTTAAAATCTCCTAGTGGTCACAGTAAAATAAAAACGAAACAAAGGTGAAACAAATTTTAACGTATTTTATCATTTCAATATGTAATCAATGTAAAATTAATGGCAGGTTTTCATTCTTGTTTTTTCCAGTAAGTTTAAAATACACTATGTACTATATTTTCCAATTCTAGAATGTCTCATTTTGTATTAGTCACATTTCAAAAACTGAACAGATATGTACCTAGTAGCTAAGACTGTGCAGGTTTACAGCACATAAAATCACCCAAAGAATCCTCATCTTTAACCAATTAAAACAGTCTTTAGAATAGGACTGAGCACTGGGTGTTCACAGCTCTTCAAGTGACTCTCATTCGCAGGCAGGATTAAGAACTACCCTGTTAGAGTAAAATGTGGCGTCTACTTGCTCTACTTACTGAGTAACTCAAACCTTTCAAAGGCTTTCCACTGAACTCATCAGGTAGGTTTACACTTTGATGTTTCTCTATTATAAACCCTACAGGAAGCACTACCTTTATGCCTCCATACCTACCTTTTCCAGTCTTATCTGTCACCTCCAACATTAACTCCAAACCTACTTCCCAATCCACTTTCCCCACCCACATTCTCCAACAAACAAGTGCATACAGCCTGGTGCAGTAATTCTACAATTCCCCTGCATTCTAGATCAGCACTATCCAACAGAAATATGACAGCCCTATATATAATTTTAAATCCTTTAGTAGCCACATTAAAAAAAGTGAAGAGAAAACAGGTAAAAATGAACTACACTTTAACCCAATATACTCAAAATGTTATCATTTCAATATAAATAATTATTGAGATGATACTTTACGTTCTTTTTTTTAATACTAAGGCTTCAAAACCCAGTAGGTATTTTATACTTCACGTTTTTACCTTTCAATTTGGACTAGTCACACACACTTCAGGTGTTCAACAGGGAGATGTGGCTATTGACTAGTACACTGGAGGGCACAGCTCCAGCTGTCAGGACCCTGCCCTAGCACTGTTACAGGTGTATTTCTCTAGCCCATCTCCATAACTCCTATGGTGTCTATTAATCCTGCTATCAAATAATTTACAATCTAGTAAAAACTGTAAAACACAGATGCATACAAAAGTACATGAAAAACTGTAATGGAGTTTGTGCACTGAAGGTTGTGAACACAGACTACCTGGTTCGCATGCCAATTCCATCACCTACTAGCTCTGTGATCTCAAGCAAATTAATCTTTAAACTTGTTTCTTCATCTGGAAATGGGAATAATATCAGACTAATACAATGACTTGAGGATTAAAAGAGATAAACCAATTAAGCAGCTTACAATGCTTAAAATACCGTAAGACCACAAATGTCAGCTATAATCCATTACCTAGTATAGTATCTGGACCTGGTAAGCAAATATTTCTTTAATGGATGAATAAGCAAACATGAAAAGTACAATAAAGAAATATTAGCAAAACAGTCTTCACACTCATGAGCAGCAGAAAGCTTTGATGGGATCAAGGATGGTTTTGAGGAGGAGTGAGTATGTGATTTAGGTCTCAGAAGACAAACTAATGAGAGAAAGAAATAAAGGGAAAGAGTATTAAGAATGAAAGCTAGAAAAGAAGGTTGGGATCAAATGTTATGAATCATTAATACTAGGTAAGTAAGATGATATTCTTTGCTAAAAAATGTACTAAAAGGGACAAATATATCTGCTAAAGTTCACATATGTTTGAAATTCAAACAGATTACCTTTTACATGGAAGCACTGTTACTGTAATAAGCTATAGTATGTAACAAAGTATAAGTATGTAATAAAGCAATTACTTAAGTTGTCAAGAACAGATACCCAGATATGAAGGGTTTATGCAGATATCCGCCATCAGATGCTGCTGCTTTTAGAATCTGAGACTGATTTAGCAATGGAATTGTTGTGAATTTATTAGTGAACGGTAGAAATAGCAGGCCTTTCTAACCTACCACTGAGTCAATGGGTTTTTAAAATCTGGCAGTAGTTGTTGCTATTCTCATGACCTATTTTTTCCAACAATTCCTAACTCCATACCTGTAGCTTAAAAATGGCATCCCTTTGTCTCTAACTGATCTGTGGTGAGCTGATGACCTGCAGTATTGCAGTATTTCATTGGTAAATGGACTTTAACATATTTTTAACTTTAGTGAAATTGATACTGGAATGCACTCTATAATTTCAGTCTTGATTTATTAACGTGTTAAAAGTTTCAACTAAAATCTTGATATCCTCTGGTTAAGTGCAAGGAGACACTAGCATGGATGCATCTTCCGTAGCTGAAATCTGTTCGCCATCCTTACAGGAATAAAATCCATTTCCAGAAATGTTTGTCTTTCTGATCCCTCCCTTATTTTTGGTATTTTGGTACCCATGGAATCGAAGCTTGGGTTTTCTGCCATCCATTTCCCAGTAATTTCTTCAAAAAACTCTTATTAAGCTCCTACTATGTGTCAGACACTGTTCTTGGTGCTAGGGATATAACACCTCATAAACCGTGAGAAGATGCAATTTTAGATACCAGTGTTATTCGTTCTATTTTGGTTGTCATCCTGTATTTACAGAAAGGACTCAAGAGTTCAAGTCTCTAAAACTTACAGACCTTTCAGTGCCAAATTACAGATAACAGCCTTTTTCCTGAAATCTCATCTCACAATCATGTTTTACTGGTTGGAAATAGAAATGATAGGTGGTTCACTGGCGTAATCCTTGTGCAGATGACGTACGGTCAATGGCATATTTTTAACCGAGCAACTTTTTACGAAAACACTAGAATGAAGTTCCTAGATATTTCCTGATAAGACAGAATCAAGAGGTCTGAGAAAATTCCTGGCCAAAAAATTCTACGGTAAATTCATTAAGAAGTTCAAGAAGAAAAGCATCAATAATCTACCATCTTCCCTCAACTCCTACCCCAATCTCGTCTCCAGTGTGACTTTCCCTCCGCTGTTTTCTTATGAGATTCATGTCTCTGCCCAACAGAATACTCTTCTCTAAAACTTGTAGGAGGTAAATAAAGTTTACTGTTACCAAAGTACCTTTCGCCTCCTGCCTGCTGCCCGCGTCGGGAACGTAAGAAACAGCCCCTGGGACCAACCGAAAAGGACAGGAGGGCGCCCTGGAGCGCGGGCGCGCACCTGACTCAGCCAGCCGCACGGTGCGGCCGCACCTGGAAGGGCTCGGGGCCACCTGGAAGAAGTCGGGGCCACCTGGAAGGGGCTTTCTCTTTCTATGTATTAAACTAGAGTCCGGACTGAGTGCCCAGAAACTTATGCAGCCTTGTTTCTGCGGCTTGGGCCCTCCCCAGCTCGCACGGTCAAGCGACGCCTCGCCTAGTACGTCCCCCGAGTGTGTAGTCCCGCTACGCCACAAAGCCAGGGCCAAAGCCCGCAGCGAGGGCCGCCACCTGCCGCTGACCCCTCCGGGCCCGCCCCACGGAGAGGGCACCCACCGTCCTTGGAGCCACGGCTTGCCTGGCTGCCTCCTCCGGCCCGAAATCGCGCACCTGCGACCCCAGTGGCACCTCCACACGATCGCCCCTAAGGGCGATAGGAAAAAAAAAAAA